GAAGCAACGTCCTCCACAACTAGACTGAAGAACAAAACGACAGCAACTTATCTGTTCCCTTTCCCCCCAATTCCCCAGCGCTGTTCCCAACCCCCAATTCCCCAATAAAAATCTTTAAAAACAAAACAAAACACTGTCACGGAATGTAAAGTACAGCATAAGGAATATAGTCAATAATATTTTAATAACTATGTATGGTGTCAGGTGGGTACTAGACTTATTGGGGGGGATCACTTCATAAAGTATATAAATGTCTAATCACTGTGTTGTACACCTGAAACTGATACAATATTTTATGTCAGCTGTAATTGAAAAAAAATTTAAATAAATAAATGCTAGTAGATCTATTATGTCTAGGCATGAGTAATTTTTATTTATCTTACTTTCCTCCTGAACGTCCTATTTTTCAGGTCAGGTCCACAGGGAAAGTTGGGGCACCACTGTGGGTACAAGGCCTCGAGCACACAGTGACCATGTTGGGAAGGGCTGCAAGAAACGAGGTTGAGAAGATCCAAGGCCGGTCGGGGGTACACAGAGGGAATTATGGCACTTGACATGAGGCCTGGAATGTGCCAGTGTCCCAACTGGGAGGGCCACACCAAGGTGGTCAGCAGGCCTAGGCTGGGGCTGTGAGGTTGCCAAGGGACTGCCTACTCTGGGAGCACAACTGGAGTTGGGCGCCACCAGATGTCCCACCCACATGCCCTGCTGACAGACTATGCAGCCCGAGCGACAAAAAGCAAATGAAGCCACGAAAAGCCTCTTTCCTCCTGCAATGCCCTCCCGGGCGCCCTCTACTGGCAAAGCTTAACACCATGCTCACAAGGAGAAACGTTTGGAAAGTCCAATCCTTCATGGCAGAGCAGGTCCTGAAGGGTGCACTGGGAGCTGAGAGGCAATTGATTGATAAGAAGCACCCTTTCTAAAAGCCACCTCTTGTCCTTGATTCCTCCATTGTCCCTTTTTCATAGCATTCTGTTCTCACTTTCGGATGTTAACAACTTCTGGAATTTTTCTGTGGACTAATTCAATTCTTTTCAGGTCTCTCGTATTCCTAGATTGATCATTGCTTCCTCTGTAGTAAGTTTTCCTGTTTGTCTGTGTTGTTATTCTCTGGTTTCCCTCGAAGCCCTGAAGATCTTTGCTGTTCATTCATATTATGAGAAAAAAGGACTGTGTTGAATATTCCAGTAGCTGGCGGGGTTTCTTCTGCTGTGGTATTAAGTAAGTCCTGTTCACAATGAGTCTCTTCCCTGAGTAGGAGGTCCACCTGGGAACTCTGTGCCGGCAGGTGGGGAGTGTGAGCTGGCAGTCATCACTTTGGTGACTGAGAAGAGATAACCTATTGACAGGGCGCACTCCCAAATACACAAATGGGGCTTTACTCCAGGATATACAATAGGGTAAAGACAATACGGCAGTAGCCCTCGCTTTCTGTAGACATCCCTTCGGTGTCTTTAGACAAAACGTTGATTATTGTCACCAGGAGATAAAAACCCAGGCACCAACTGTTCAGATGGGCCAGTGCCCATGGTATACCATTGTTACAAATGTTTAAATTTTATTTTCAAGATCAAGTTGCACTTTGCAGTTCTCCATTTCACTCACACCCTTTGTTTTCCTTGCCTGTTCTGAGCCCAGGGCCTCTCTCCGGAGATCTTACAAGCAAATTACCCCTCACTTTTCCTGCAGCCCTCATAGAGCAAATTCTGGGGTGAGCTTTCCTCCACTTGGTTTCACTTGTCACTACCCTTCCATCTGTTTTTTACCTTCTAGAAATTGGCTGAAATCTCTCAGCTGCTGATGAACCCTTTATTTTCCTCCCACCGTCAAGGGTTTCTACTTTTCTGCGCTCTAGCAAATGCCCACCATCTTGAGTTGAAAGCCTCTTCATAAACTTATATTCATCTATCTTGAGTCAATAAAATAGCCTTGAAAACAACTCAAGATTTTACCGGCCCAACAATTTTAGGAAGGAGAATTAAAAAATAATAATAACAATCAATGATAAAAAGGTTTTGTCTCAAAATCATCTTACCAAAATGACAAATTTGGATTTTATTCCACTCACTGGATCAACTATTCAAAGGAAAAACAAAGCCCAAACCTGACCTAGTTAACAGCTGGGGTTGAAGGTCATTTGCCCAGTTGGAGGTAGGGGCAGGCACAGACCTCGGCCCCTTGGTTGGGGGTGCGGATTTCTTACCCTGGAGTTTGCTGACCATACCTAGTGGGAAGGTGGGACAGGCGATGCAGCGGGCACAGGAGTTGGTGACTGATGTGACACAGACCATGCCAGGTCGACATTCACAGACACGGGAGGAGTTCCACGTGCAAGGTGTCTTCTCCACAAGGTCACCTAAGGGACACAGAGAGGGGTCATGGGGAAAGATCAGGGATGGCAAGGGCAGGGGGTGCAGAGAACCCCCAGGAGGGCAAAGGAGCCTTGGCCCAGGAGCAAATGCTCATTTGTTCCATTAAGCAGACCTTCTGCCATGCTCAAAATAATTATGCTAAGTGAAAGAAGGCAGATGAGAAAGGAGTTTTACTCGCGTACTATATGATTCCGTTCATCAAAAATGCCAGAAAATGCGAACTAGTCCAGTGACAGAAAGCAGAAGGACTGACTGGGACTGGGAGCAGGGGTGGGAAATGATGACAGGGATGATAAGGAACACGAGGCACACTCGGAGGTGATGAATAATTCATTATCTTGCTTGTGGTGGTGCAGCGGCATACGTATGTCAAAACTTTTCAAATTGCACACTTTAAACATGTGCATTTTATTGCACATCAGCTGCATCTCAATAAAGCTGTTAAAATAACCCAGAGGATGGGGGTGAGTGGGCATGGACATAGATGAACCAAGACTGGCCACGACTTGATGATTCTTTAAAACCGGGTGATAGCCCATAACCATTTCTGATTCCCTCAACTTCTGAATAAGTTTGAATTTTTCAATTGATAAAAAGTGTTTTTTCTTCAAAATCCAAAAAAAAAAAATGTTAGAGGTTTTGTAAAAGAAGAGGTATAATATTGCACTTATGTATGCTTGAGAATATTTGGCATGCTCTAGTTATGCGTAAAAAAACAGAATCGTTGCATCAGTAGATTAGAGAAATGTGACTTGCTCATTAAGAATACTTCTCCCCAGCGGGATACTTAGAGACGTCACATGATAAAGATAAGGGACCACCCAATCTCTTCCTGCAACCTCCAGAGAGACCAGGAACTGGAAAGGATTTGGGCAAGTTGTACAGAGTTGAGCAAGCGTGGGCTCGGCAATCAGTGGGATGACTTGGGATGATGATAGCTATTATCATTACCATAGCTATTAATATAATCAAGTGTGTGTGGCAGTAGTCTTAAACAGATTAACCTAGTTTAACCTATTTAATTCCCATAGCTCTCTGAGATAGCACTATTATTATGCCCATTTTACAGATGAGGAAACCAGGCACAGGGAGGTTAAGACGCTTGCTGGAGTTTCTAAGCAACCAAATGGTTGGCCCAAGCTTTGAACCCACACACTTGGGCTCCAGAGCCCATGCTCTTAGCCCCTGTGCTCCATCCACTCCATTGCCTCACGGGGCTTCCCCTATGAGGATTAAAGGAATTCTTGGGCCCAGAGCCATTTCTTTTCTCCATCTGAAGTGGTGGCTGTGATAAATTATATATTTTTTCCAACAATGGCCACAGCAATATTTCTGGCCCCATCTACTCTTCCAGTGCTCTCCACTTACCCACCAAGAAGCTTGAGTTTTTCCTTCCCTTGACTCAACAGGTCGAATGTGGGGGAAGTTACACCCTGGGACTTCTGAGGCTAGGTCATAAAAAGGGATATGGGTTCTCTACCCCACCCCTACCCCCATCCGTGGAATCCAGTCTCCAGACCTTGAGGGAGCCCAAAGTAAGCCACACAGAGGCTGATATGGAGAGGAACTGGGGCCCAATCAGCAGCTGGCATCAATCCCCAGACACATCAATGAATAAGCTTTCAGATGCCTCTAACCTCTAGCCTTTGCATGTTCCAGCTGAGACCCCAGACTTCGTGGAGCAGAGACCAGCTGTCCCCACAGTGCCCTGTCTGAACTCTGACCCACAGAATCCGTGAGTACAATAAATGGTCTGTTTTTCACTACTAAGTTTTGAGAAAATCTGCTACGCGCCCTTATCAACTGGAACAGCGGCCCACAGGGATGACAGATGGAGTGTTCTTTTTCTCTCTTTAGTCTGCCTTGACTCTGGTCTGGGTTGCTGCATGAAAGAAACCCTGGACAAGGAGACAGAATCATGCATTCCCCCCATGGCCTCTGAGAGTGGGCTGGGCCGCTAACAACCATGGCAGCCTAGGTCCTAGGTCACCTCCCCTGCTCTGTGTGGCCATCATGGAAGTCACAGGGCAGTTGCGGGGGATGCTGTGAGGCTGCCGTGAGCTGGCCACAGAGAAAACATTGGCAGGATGCCATCCTACCATGCACACAGCCGCCACTCAGTAAGTGCTTGCCCAGGCTATGCTCTGGACAATGGAGTGACCAGCGCAGTGGAGGGACCAGAGCCCACAACTTAGTGGCAGACGCCCTGGGCCCAAACGCCAGCCTTGCCAGTCTCGAGGGCTTGTGGCCTGTGAAAGCCCCTTGACTTCCCAAAGCCTCAGTTTCCTCTTCTATAAAATGGGGACAATCGCAATCCGTGCATCACACGATAGTTATGAAAAAGCATGAGACAAGGGAGGGGATTAACAAATGTTTCCTGGCAGGAAAGAGTGAGCGAATGGAAGCTCTCTGAAAAGGGGTCACTGCCATCAAAAACCCACAGTGGTGAGTGGGAGTCACTAGAAGCTGACTGCTCAGACGCCAGAGGTACACCAGGCTCCCGCAGGCTGAACAGCGCAAGGCCAAACTTGGGCTCCCCACCCCCAGATTCTCAGCCTTTCCTGCGAGACCCCAACCCCCTGCTCCCTGGAAGGTACCCCTGGAGGAAAGACAAAGCTCTTACCTCCTGAACAGCTCACACAGGCCGTGCAGCGGCCGTCCCTGTCCAGGAAGTAGTCCTTGTCACACTGCTTCCTGCAATCAGATGACCCCTGTGGGCACAGCTGTGGGGACAGCCCTGGGAAAAGAAGCAGAGACGCTCTGAGAAAGGCCACCTCGGCAGAGGCCTCACCTCCCTCCCAATCAGGGAAGCCTCCCATCTCCACAGCCAGCTCCTAAGCTCCACACATGTCAGATCAGTCCTTCAGAGGGGGTCGTGAGGCTCAGAGAGGGAAGGAACGTGTCTAAGGCCACACAGGAGAAGAGCCCCTGAGCCTCCGGCTTCCGGTCCCCCCACCAGTGATCCACCATTTCCACTCTGCCAGTGCCCTCTCCCCACGCTCACTGCTGTGTCACTGCCCTCCTCAAACTGTGGTAACCACTTTTCCTTTGAGATCAGCAGCGAGGCACGGATGCCTACTCTCACGACTTCTATTCGGCATGGTACAGGAATCCCAGGCAATGCAGTGAGGCAAGAAGAAGAAATCAAAGTGGTAAGGCTTAGAAAGGAAGCGATCCATCTGTTACGCACAGATGACGTCACCGAGCGCATAGATAATCTCAAAGAACCTGCAGGTACATTAGTAGAACTAATACATGAATTTAACAACGTAGTTGGATATAACGTTATGACAGCAAAATCAACTCAACGTCTGTCTATATATTGGTTTGAACCACATGAAGTTAACGCTTTGCTAGGCCAGCCAGCCAGCCAAACATTGGCAATTTCACATGGTTCACGATCACACTTACAATAAAGACTCAGAACATGACATTTTGAAAAAGATGCCATTTGCATCCTAATCAGAAATATCAAATGCCTAGAAATCTAAGAAACAGGTGTGACTATCTCTATATAGAAGGTAATAAAGCATTACTGGGGGAATCAAAATACAGCCTGAGTAACTATAGGGCCGTGCCATCTACTCAGCACTGTAACACGGTGGGTTCTTTCCACACTGACCTACAGAGTCAGTGCAGCCCAATCACAACCCCAACAGGATGTTTTGTGGAATCCGGAAAGCTGATTCTAAAAGGTATGTGGAAATGCACATTCCCAGGAAAGCCAACACGCCATTGAAGAACAAAGTTAGAGACACTGCTCAACCATCCACGAAGACTTATTGAAAAAAAAAAAGAGACTGTAATTAAGACAGTATGGTATTCACGCGGCATAGACAAAAAGACCCAGGGACTAGAATAGCGACCAGAATCACAGCCACACATCTCTGATTTACAAAAAAGTTAGCATGCAGATTCATGGGGAAAGGACAGTTCATCTGATACGTGGTGTTGGTTCGACTGCATATCCTCACAGACACGTTTAACATGACCGCTGCCACGCCCAAAAGCCAAGGTGGACGGCAGACCTAAACGTGAAAGGCAAACCAGTAATGGTCGTAGGAACTAAAGGTAGGATGCCTTCGAGACTTCCGTGGACGACGTACAAAGCAGAACATGAAAAGCACTCGTCATGAGGGAAAGACGGATCCATTTGACTACATTAAAATTAAGGACATCTCTTCATGGAGAGACACCATCAAGAGAATGAGAAGGCAGGGCTAGGGTGGCAGAAGATATTTGGACACAACTGTAGGACAAAGGGCTCAAAACCCAGAATTATAAGAAATCCTACAAATCAATTTTTTTTAAAAAAAAGAGAGAAATGGAAAAACAAACATTCACACAAAGACTTGTTTTTCACTCTTCATTCTAGCCAACAGGCAGAAACAACCCAAATATCCAAAAACGATGTGGATAAGCAAAGTGTGGTGTCAGTGAAAGGTTGGCCATTCAGTAATAAATAGGAGCAAACTGGGGGCCTCAATCTGTCACCGTGGGAACCAAGAGGGCATCAAATTGACACCCGTAGAGGCTCACCTGCGCTGTGACAAGCACCAGCCCCTACCTCAGTGTCTGGCAAACAAGAAGGTGCTCAAAAGTGGCATGAAATGAGTGAGTCCTTCCATTATCTACTCTGGCCCTCGAGGCCTCAGCCCCAGGAGACCCTGAGGCCTCTTCTCACCCCACTGGAAAAAAACCACAGCTCAGTGGCCACCTGCCCGGACCACCACACACAGGTCGCCCACCCACCAATCAGACACCGTTGCTCTGGGAAACAGCCCACAGCTTCTCTGGAGAAATTACCTGGATCCGGACTGGGCTTCCCCATGGCGGGGGGAGGGATGGGAGTCCTTGTCATTTTGGAATCATTTTCCGGGGTGAAGAGAGTGTCCCTTCCAAGAAGTGTGGTCCTGGCATTGGAGCTTGCCGAGGTCAGGATGGGTTTGCCGTGGAGGGTGGTGCCACTGGAAAAGAAGCCAGAGATAGGACTGACAATTCTTCTGATGGGGCAGGGGAGGTCTGTGCTCGGGGATAACTGTTTCTACAGAGAAGGGGGTCCCCAGATCCTCTGCCCACAGCCTCTGGCAAGCCCACTGTCAGCTCCTGGGAGCAAAGGCTGTTTTCTGGGCTGTTCCGTCTCCCATGTGCTCAGAGCAGACTGGACACACAGTAGGGCCTCAAATGACTTGTGGGCTTGGCAGAAAGGCACCCTGGAGCCCTGACACCAGCGCAGCTGAACCCCACCTGCACCCCCAGCCCAGCTGTGCCCTGGGCATCCTGTGGGGTGAGATGGCCCCACACTAAGGTTAGCTGGATGGGAGAGGGCCAGGGAGTCACCTGGCTGGCGCTTCGCAGTCCTCCGGGCTGGTGCTGCAGTCAGGGCTGGCCCCTGGGGAAGGCAGCTCGCAGACAGTGTCCCTCTCTGCTGTACCTGCAGGGGGGACACAGTGCCTCCAGACTTGGTACTGAGGAGTCCGAAGACACCAAGAATCGACTTTTACCACCACAAACCACAGTCCAGGATTGGGCGCTTAGAAAACACAGTGGCCATCTGCGGTTTGTGCCTGCCTAGCATCCGTTCCTTCTTGGGGTAAAGCGGCCCAATCTCAGTATCTGTGTGTGTTTAGGGGGACTGACTGATTCCCCCCTCCCCCTTCCTTTCCAGGAGTAACCATGGGACCAGGCTGTAGCAGTCAGTCCATTCCATTCCTCTGGCCATGGTGCGCTGGCTCAGAGGGGGGCACATGACCCAAGCCAAGTCTATGAAATGCAATTTCAAGGTTTTGTTTTTGGTTGTTGAAAATGTAGGAAGAAGTTGTCTTTCCCTCGGGGTCGGACAGGAAGCAAGCCTGGGGCGGCGGGTGGACAGCTTACAGATACCGAAACACAGGGGCGTGGAGATGAGCAGCAGGAAAACGCAGGCCTCCTGGACCCAGCCATTCCTGAAGCTATTCAGAGCTATCCCCAGACTTCTCAGTTCCACGAGCCAAAAATATTTGAAATTTTGTTACTTGCAACCCAGAGAGTCCTGAAGATGACTGGACAGAGGCAGAGCGGAGAGGGAAACACACAGCACTTCCCATCAAGTAGACCTGAGTTCGCCTGCCACCTCTATCACGTCCTAGCTGTGCCAAGCAAGTCAAATGACTAAGATAATACACTCTTCACATGGACAGACAATAAGTGTACCTCATGTGCCTACCACACAGCGCAACATACAGCAAATGCCAACAAATCAATGCCAGTACATCCCTTTTCCTCACCTGGACCCTTGCCCCAGCACTTAGCAAGCGACCCACAGGTGTGCGATACGATCTGACGTTTTCAGTGGAGTTAGGTATGAGCAATGCTGACTTGGCTTGTGTGTCTGCAGGGTGGTGGGGTGACAAGGCGTGAGGGTGACGTTCGAACCCTGGCTGGGATAGTCTCCGCTCTGTGGTCCTGAGCAATCTGCCTGCCATCTCTGGCTCTCAATTTCCTCACTTGTCAAACGGGACTAATACAGCCTGCCCTGTGGGGCTTTGAGAATTTCAGGAGAGAGCGCCCAGGCAAGCTCTTAGTGCGGGGCTTAGCTAGGAGCTGAATCTGAAGCAGGAACTCCTTTCCATGTCACAGCTGGAGAGATGGAGGCCCCATGGGAGAGTCCGCAGGGGGAACCTAGAAGTTAGCCAGGGTTTGGCAGCCAAAGCGGCACTGCATAGAAATATGATGTGAATCACACAGGTCATTTTAAATTTCCTAGCAGCCACATTAAAAAAAGTAAAAGGAAACACGTGAGATTAATTTAAATAATATATTTAACTCAATAGATCTAAAATATTATGTCAGCAGGTAAGCAATATAAAAAATAATTAATGAGATGTTTTACATTTTCTATACTAAGTATTTGAAACTCAGTGCATACTCTATACTGACAGCATATCTCACTGCGACTGGACACATTTTAAGTGCTCAATGATCACATGGGGCAGGCCAGTAGGGCAGCCTTGGGCAGAGTGGGTCTAGGGGCCGTTCAGAGAGGCCTCTGGCGCCACCGTGTGGCAGTTACAGGAACACCACGGAGAGAGCCTTGGCGCGCCTCAGCTGGTCCACAGCCCTGGCTGGAAGAACTGAACTCAAGGCTGCTTTTCACAGAGATACAAGAGTTTCTTGAGCTGGAAAGGGTCCCCAGGACCTTCTAGTCACACCTCCACATTTAACAGATGAGGAGATTGAGGTCCAGAGAGTGGTGGGAACGTGCCCCATAGATGCAACGCTATACAAAATCCCAGGTGTCAGGGCCGGCCGAGTGGCGCGATGGTTAAGAACTGGCTTGGGACGCCAGAGGGCCCCGGTTCGGATCCCACCAACTTGTCTGTTCCCCTTCCCCCAATTCCCCAGCACTGTTCCCATCCCCCCAATTCCCCAATAAAAAAATCTTTAAAAAAAAAACAACAAAAATCCCAGGTGTCAGGTGCCCAGTCCAGAGCGCTTTCCACTCCACCACCCTGCCCTTGATTGCTTGCATGTGGCCGGCTGCTGCATGTCCCTGAGCAGAGTGCTTTGCATGACCCAGTTCAAGGCTGAGTAGGCCTTAGCTAAGTAAACGGGGAGGGAAGGTTGTCCCAGACAGAGGGAACGGCATGTGCAAAGGCCTGACAGAAGGAAGAAGCTCTGTCCATCCGTCCGTGGAACTAAAAGAAGACAGACCAGGTGGGGCCCAGGGAGTGAGGGGCTGGTGCTGAAAGCGGAGGCTGGAGGAAGGAGGGGTCACACCACGTAGGATGCACTTTACCCCCTCCCTCTCCGTGGGCACAGGAAAAGCCTGGACCTTCTGTGTAAAACAAAGACTGAAGGGTGGAGAGAAAAAGGCAGGTCCGGAGGGGCCGGGGGACCCCAGGAGGGACGACACAGTGGTGAGTCCCCTGGGTTTTCTCTTTGCTTCATATGTCCCAGATTTGGAGCCCAATAAGCCAGTAACCCCGGAAATGCTAAAGGGCAGACTTAAAAAAAAAAAAAAAGTCCCCTCAAAAACCTGTTCTCTTTTACCAAAGGATCGCGTCCTTCTCATTAGAGTAATGGGAAGATACTAAATGTTTTAGGCAAGTGAGTGCGTGTGAAAAAAAAGAAACACATACACAACCTGATTGGTGTTTTGCAAGGGAGGCTCTGGCTGTCTGCCATAAGGGGGGATCTGGGGGTGGGGGACTGGAGAGAGAATTGGGAGACATAATGTATGGGACTGGGGGTTGGGCTGGCTGTGGAGGGGTATGAGTGGGGGAAAGGAGGAAGGGAGGAGAGGGGGTGAGAAGGGCGTGGGATGGGGCTTTGGAAAAGAACCAGGCTGGAAGGAGGGGTTACGGGCTCAGGGTTGGCACTTTCCTCCCCAGTGGACATGGCTCCCCTGATCCCATCTTGTTCCTTCCCCGTGTCCCCTGTGTGGCTACGGTCCAAAGCCACCCACCCCCCATGCCTCCCTTTCCAAAGGTACTCTCCATGCCACCCACACAGGCTCTGTGGCCCTGATCGCCTCTCTGGCCACGGACCCTCCTTGTAATGTCAGAAAATTAGAAACCCAGAGAAGATAAGGACCTTGTCTGAGGTCACACGGCAAGTTGGAAAAGAAACCGTGTCTCCATCTTGATCCTGGTGTCCAATCTCTTGGCTCCTCTAACTAACTCCCAAGGCTTCGACTGTGAAACAGGGAAACCAGACCTAATCTTCCAGGAAACTCCCAGGACACAGACTTGAGGTTTCTTTCTTGTTGATCAGGCATCAGAGAATTTTGCCCCAAGGCTCAAACCAGCCCAAGACCTCTTCCAGTCAGGCCTGTGCCTTGGGCCACCTTGGCCTCTGAGCCTGGGACACAGGTGAGGGGAAGAGGCAGCTGGGGGTTCTGGGTGCCTGGTGCACCCAAGGCATCATGCTGAAAGGAGATGTGATCTATCCCACAGGCAGGAGGAAGTGAGAGGCGCGGAGTCACCTGGAGGTCAGGGTGGAGAAGGCAGCTTCAGCACAGGTCTCGGCCCTGGGCTGAGGGTGGGGTACTTACCTTGGAACTTGACAATCAACCCTGTGGGGCAGGTGGAGTGAGGGGAGCAGCGGGCACAGGAGTTGGCGGCTGTTGTGAGACAGAACATGCCAGCCCGGCACTCGCAGACGCGGGAGGAGTTCCGTGAACATGGCTTCTTCTCCACGAGGTTATCTAAGGGACACAGAGAAGGGTCACAGAGGACCGGGGGAGGATGAAGGAAGGTATCCAGAGGACCACCCCCCTCTCCCAGGGACAGTCCAGCACGTGACAAGGGGTGCTGCTGTGGCTTTCAGCTGGGCAGGGCAGATGGCACACGCAGCCTTTTTTTCCAGAGTGTTCTTGAGATGAGTGCAAGCGGGTAGGCGGGGTCAAAGGGACATTAAATGAATATTTCTAAGTAAAAGAAGCCAGTTTGAAAAGCTACATACTGTGATTCCAACTCTATGACATTCTGGAAAAAACAAAACTATAGAGACAATAAAGAGATCAGAGGTTACCGGGGTTCGGTGGGAAAGGTGGGGGAGGGTGAATAGATGGCGCACAGAGGATTTAGGGCAATGAAACTGCTCTGCATGATACCGCAGTGGTGGATAAATAACATTATACATTTGTCAAAAACCATAGAAAGCACACCACCAAGGGTAAATCTTAAAGTAAACCATGATCTTTAGTTAATAATGTACCGATACCAGTTCATCAACTATAACACTGTACCACACTAATGCAAGGTGCTGATAATAGGGGAGCCAGGGGACAGGGTAGGGGAGAGGGGGCATATGGGGACTCTGTATTTTCTGCTCAATTTTTCTATAAATCTAAAATTGTTCTGTTTTAAAAAAGTCTATTACATATTTTTTAGTGAGCCAAGGTTTTGAGAAATTTTTTCTCCAGAGAAGATGTATAAATGGACAGAAAACATGTCCACACAAGCAACTGTATGTGAATGTTCATAGCAGCATTATTCATAATAGCCAAAAAGTAGAAGTAACCCAAATGTCCATCATCATAAACAAAATGTGGTCAACCCATGCAATGCAGTATTATTCAGCCATAAAATGAATGAAATCCTGACACACGCTACAACATGGAGGAAACTTGAAGACATCATGCAAAGTCAAGGAAGACACTAAAAACCACATACTGCATGCTTCCATTTATATGAAATGTCCAAAGGAGGCAAGTCCATAGAGACAGAAATTCATAGATGGGAGGAGATGGGAGGAGAGAATTTGGGAGACAAGGAGTTTCTTTTTGGGGAAGTAGAAGTTCTGTAATTAGATAGTGGTAATAAATTAGAAAGTATAATAAAAACGACTGCATTGTATACTTTAAAATGATGAGTTTTATCTCAGTAGAAAAAGGTCACTGGCAGTCAATTAATTAATTAATGCAAACTTCCCTGGAAACAAACAAGGGGCATCCTTGGTCAACCACTAAGCTTTTTTTTTTTTTTTTTAGCTGAGCCATCCTGCCACTTGTTGGCAGCTCAGCGGCTGCTCAGCTCGGGCCAGGACTCGAACCGCTGTTGCTCAGAGCTCAAACTCTCAAGCAAGCTCTTAACCAGCTGAGCCACTTGGCCAGCCCCCTTGGTCAACCAGAACTGATGAAGACTTCCTGAAACATGGAAGGCAGATGGGATTGGATGGAAGAAGGAGAACACAGCCCAAAGTATGGCCAAGAAGAGGAGGATGCTGCGAGAGGCTCTGGGGTGCTCCAGTCTCCGAGCGGGTGCATGGCAGTGGCCAGCCCTAGGGAATCTGACAGCAAGTGCAGCAGGCGCATTCAGGTGGGTCAATGTCACCAGGTTCCTCATCCACTTCTGCCACTGAGCTAGAAGCCAAGTATCTCCCCAAGGAGACTCCTGGGCAAGGTGAGCAGGGTGGTGCTCTGGGGCTGCTCAACCTGGGAGGAAAGGACCCTACAGACCCAGAAGACCAGCCACTGGCAACCCAGCCTGGCACCCCGCCCTACCGGCTTACCAACCATCAGAGCTGGTTTTCACAAGCCACATGAGTCCTGAGATACGATGTGCAGAACTAGAAGTCACCAAACATAGGGGAAAACCAGCACCAAGGAAAAAGAGCCCCAGACTCAATGAGAACTAACACTTGAGGAAGCAGGAAGAAAACAGAACAAGCCTTTAGAATCAATATTGTTACTATTCTCAGAGATGCAAATGGAAATTGCAGCTATAAGAAGGAGTTCCTGGAGCATAATGCTGCGTTCACCAATTCCTCTTTCACCTGGGCTCAGAAAAAGACTACATTTCCCAGCCTCCCTTGCAGCTGTATTGGGGGTCATGTGACTGGGTACTGGCCAGTGAGATGTGGGCAGTAGTGATAAAATTCCTCTCCCAAGCCTGGTCTCTAAAACCATCTCAGGAGACTCTCAACTTTCTCTTCTTTGTCATAGTGACCCGGGTGTACCCCCTAACTCTCACCTGCACCCCAGAAGCTGTACTGAGGAGAGAATAAACCCTGAGGCTTCTCAAAAATCTGCAGAGAAGCATTCTGAGGGCAGTAAGTCAACATCCCTGAAAAACTGAAGGAAAAACCCTCAGAGTATCAGCCGCCATGATGTCACAGGCCTGGGCAGAGGTGAAAAAGACTGCCTGGTCTTGTCCACTTCTGGGGAGCCGGGCCAAGTGGTGGAAACGAGCAGAAGCCCCAGGAGTGGGGTACACCCCTTTCTAAGCAGCAAGAGCTATGACAAATGCTATCAGACAAAAGGAAAAGCAGATCCCTGTCCCCATCTCAGGCTGCATGCTGCCTCCCTCCCAGGCCCACAGACTCCTCCAGACCCCTCCAGTGAGTTTCAAAAGTAACACTCAGGAGTCTTCCCAAAATTCAACATAGAATTACCGCATCATCAGCAATTCCACTGCTAAGTATACACGCAAATGAACTAAAAGCAGGGACTTGAACAGACATTTGTACACCCATGTCCACCACAGCAGCACTATTCATAATAGCTGAAAGGTGGGACAACCCAGGTGTCCATCGACATGAATGGAGACACAAAATATGGTAGATCGTGCAGTCAAATTCATAGAGAGTAGGGGGGTGGTTGCCAAAGGCTAGGGGGTGGGGTGGAACAGATGGGGAGCTAGTGTTTAATGGGGACAGAGTTTCAGTTGAGAAAGATGAAAAATTTCTGGAGCTGAATGATGGTGACGGTTGCCCCCAAATGTGAATGTACTTAATGCCACTGAACAGTACACTTAAAAGGGGCTAAAATGATAAATTTGATGTTATGTATATTTTACTACAATTTTTTTTAAAGTAATACTCAGCTCCCAGCTGAAGCTCTGAGCTGAGAAGACATACTAGAGCCCAGTGAGGTGGGGTAGGTATAAAGGAGAAGTCACCCCCACTGTATCAGGGCAAAAAGAAGGCTAAGCTTGGGCAAGAAAGAAAGCTATAACAAGGCAACTCTGCAAACACACTCTAGCAGGAAAGAAGGAATGGAGGGAGGAGAGAAGGTGAAAAGGGGAAAGATCTAAAAATGATAGGAATATAGTTTGCAAAGACTAAGCACCCAGTCTAAAACAAACAAGCAGTCACAGAGTGCTTCACACCCTATAGGAGCTTACTAAGAATGTAAGTTCAGTAAAGGAAGAGCTCAAAGAAGAGTTGATTTTTTTAAAGGGTGAGATAAGAAGGAAGACAAGATGGCAGAGCTTAAAAAAAAAGAAGAGAAGAGAAGATAAAAACTGAGATGTACAGCACCATCATTAGAAATGCAATCAATAAAATATCAATGTCCGGGGGCCGCTGGAATACCTGGGAGGCAAGGAGCAGGAGATTAGACAGAAAACCGAGTTAATGGCATAAAGAAAAGATTCTGAGGGCCGGCCGAGTGGCACCGTGGTTAAGAATTGGCTTGGGACACCAGAGGGCCCCGGTTCGGATCCCACATATGAGGGCCAGTGACACAGCCCTCCACAGCTAAAATGCTGAACAACAGCTCAACCTGGAGCTGGGCTGCCGTGAGTCGCCCGGCGACCGTGTAGGCTGCAGCCCCTGCGGCAGTGGGTTGCCATGGGCTACCGTGTGTAGCCAACAGCCAGCGAGAGCGGCCAGCAGCC